CTGCGGGTACCCATACAAGTCCAAAATGGGAAAAAATTTAGGCTGTTGCTGATGAGGTCATGCAWTCCTTGGCAAGTTTTGATGGCAAGGTCAGCGAGCTTACAGCATGTCTAGTCGCTCGGCTAACAGAGTAAATGGACACCGCTCTGAAGCAGGCTTGGCTGACCTTGATGACAGCAACCTCCGCCCGAAAATTCCTTTCAGGTGTGTAGACAGAAAAAGAACCGCCAAAGAAATGTTCCGCGTTGCTGTGATCTAGATTGTAAAGTATGGAATCGTAGTGGTAYAGAATTTCAATGCATCCYTTTCYGAAGCTTCTCATATACCCARCTTACCTTAGTCTAATAGCAATATATACGACTGCTGCCTTTCTCACTCTGCCCTCGATCTTTGGCTTCCAAGGGATCTTCTTATCCAAGCTAATCCCCAAGTAGTTCACCTCGTTCGCTGAATTAAAAAATATTATTTATAGAAAAATAATTGATTAATTTTTAGGTAACGGTGCTCAATGTCAAGCGTAATTGAAATTGTTGCGCCTCAAAGCAGTCTATGTTTTCTGGAGGTTTGTGGTGTTTCTTGCTGTAAGCGGTTTGCTGAGTGAGTTTTGTCTAGTTTTTTGRAAACTTGGTAATTATTTTTCGATTCAGATGAGTAATTATTTTGGAAAGTATTATTATTCTGGTTTTTTCGTTTTAGGTTTTTTTTTATTCTTTTTTTTATTATTATTATTATAATTTTTTTTTTTTTTGTAATGGCATAGGCTTCTTATAATCTGCAATTTTTATAAATTAAATAATTCCCAACTTTAAAGCCTTAAAATTTGCCGCACATAATTCCATATTAAATATGTGGTGCCTTCGCTCCAAAACCACCCACAACTCGTATCATAACAAAATCTACCTTTTAGTCGAGCAAACAATCAGCTGTTTTTGCAAAAATTCTCGCYGCCGGTAACTCGCTGTGCAACTCTCTGTCGCTTCGGCCGAACACAAGTACTCGTACACTTTGGTCGGCGATTCCCGGCTGCAGCTGAAAATTCCGCGCTACACACCTGCGTTGACGCACCGAATGAAGAGTGCAGTAATTTTGCGCCCGCAGGAATTCGCTCTTTCGGAGTCAACGCTATACCGAATATTTTGGCACATGCCACGAATACAGCACGGCCGTCGTGGCTGCTAGACGAGCGACAACGAGTGCCGCTATATGAGCGCTTCGTCAACGGCAATTCACCACACTTTGTAATTCATTCATAGGCGTTTGTTTGTGTGTGTGTGTGTGTGTATGTGCGAAGGTGTCTGCGTGTGGTGGCGTGTGTAAATAACTTCAAACTTCCTGTTGAAACGAAGCAAAGCAAAGAAACAACAAAAACAAAGACAACGCAACTTGTGCGCTCCAGCAACTGTGTACTTCCTGCCAGGACACGAAATTCAGTTGAGCTTTGGTTATCGTGCGAAAAGGCCGCCACTACGGTTGTTCGACGTCGTAAATATTTGGMATTTTTTTCACGCAAACTGTTGATGATAAACCAATACAGAGTGTGTAATAAGCAGTTATGTTCGGAAAAGTGTTGAAATTAACACAAAAAACGTTTGTGATTTTAATTTGTAGCTGTTAAAACTGTGCCGCAACTAACGGTAGTGCAGTGTGTGTGCTTTAAATTACTCTTTAGCCGGCAGCGCTGGCCGTTTAAGCCGAGCAAAGACAGTGCTGTGCGAATTTTCAAGCGTTGCAGCACTTTTAAATTGCCCGTGACTTAAATTTATGTGTGTGTGCGCGCGTTGTGACTTTGTCGTTGCCTACATTTAGGTACTTAACCCAACAACAGCCGCAATTTAAGCCGCCTCCAACATCCTGCTGTTGCGGTTAAGCGCTTGTTCCGGTCGCGTTGCTTGCTTTACWACCCCGCGCTGCCCCGTCAACACATTAATATTGCAGTCGTTTGCTGGGTCACGCCGTCACAACGTCACGCCGCCGCCAACATTTGTTTTTCATTGACGCCGTTACTCGCTAATTGCTGTGATTCGTCGCTGTTACAGACGCTGCTGCGCAGCTCAAGGCTCGTTAGCCACCGTCTAGYTTGGCTTGGGTGCTAACTTACACAAATCCATTTTGGGTTAAGTGTGACAATTAATTTTTGTTGTAATTATCGGCGACGTAGTTGGCAGGCGTTAAAACTGTCTAATTGAATTGAATTGTGGACACAAACGAATTTGTCGGTAGCGCGCTACGTGTTTGTGTATGTGTGTGCTCGTGTGCATTAGTGGTACTTTAACACTTGTGTGTGCTAACGGTGCTCAAGGTAACGCTTGACTGATAGGGTAGCGCCTTGAAGTAGGCTATGATTTTTGGAGGTGTGCGGTTTTCTTGCTCTAAGCGGTTTGTTGWGCAAATTTTAGCTAATTTTTTGGAAAATTGGTGTAGTTTGAAAAKTAATTTTGTTTCAATTGTTCAGAAAAAATTTGTTAATACAATTTTATTGCTGCGTGCTAGATATCGTGTGTGAAACTAACTCAGAATTTATTCAATAAAAAGCTAATTTGAATATTTTGCATATTAATTTTAATAAAAAAACAAAACTAAAACTTTAAAATATGCAGTTCTTGGTGACTTGGCGTCTGTTCTATAAATCTATGACGAAATGCAAAAATWCGTAAAATTTAATATCTTCAAAAAAAATGATACGTAAACTTAACAAAAATGCAAAATTTGTAAAAAATTTCTATAAAGTGCTTTAAATTTTTTGAGAAAACGGGCTAAACTAAATTTTTAAACAGAATCACTTATACAATAACTAATTTTAAATACAATTTAGACTTAATTACAAGCCACATATGCATAATTAAAGCATAARATAATTAAATGCTTCTTTATAAAGGCATTTCCATGCATAAATAACATAACTTAATATTTATGAATACATAAATATGCCCAAAAATCCACATATTTGAGTTCGACAAAATGTTTGTCGCAAATTTTGCACCAAAAAACAACGAAATAAACACGATAAAATCAACTTAAAGTTAAATTTCAGCCACAAACATTGTTAGGCGCAGCAAAAGTAATAAATAAAAAATACAAAAATTGACATCCCTGCAAATAAAATGCTGCTGCTTGGCCTCTTCAGCCACCTGCTAAGCAGTGGCAAGTTTTGGACGACGCGGCGCACAAACGCCAGTCAACACATGGATATACGATTTGTCTTCGTAATATTTTTTCTGCTCAAATGGTCACATGCACAAGGTAAGCGAGAAGGAAAAAAAAAAAAAAAAAAAAAAAAAAAAAAAAAAAAAAAAAAAAAAAAAAAAAAAAAAAAAATAAATCCACACAAACCCGCACCAACACAAAGCTCATTTAAACTTTTTGTGCTTGCGTTGAAGTGCAATAAATTTATTAGTTTGAAGTTGTAACAACACAGCACATAAATAACGGCATTGTTATAGGCGTGCTCTGTGCCATTGTAAGCCATATAAATGTAAAATGTCCAACTTTTCCGGACGCTTGTTTGAGGCGATAAGCGTGTGATAAAGTGTGGATAGTACTTGCGTGTGTGKGTGTTTTTGTGTCTCTAACTTTAAATGTGCCGCTATCTACTTAAGTAGAACGGCATAACACTATGTAGATTACCGATATATATATATATTTACTTACCTTCATACCCATGTAGGCTCCTGCTGGCTCTTTACTCTGGTCCTTGACATGCACACGTTCATAAAATTGCCTCAAACAGCCGGCAATGAACACGGAAAATGATTTTGTTTAATGTTGAGTACGTGACCAATGAATRGAATGGAACTTTTGCTTTTAACGGTACTGCCTTTCCTGCATTTTTCTCATGTAAAGCTTTGTTTAAGTGCAGAGTATTTATGGTATAGTCTAATAAATGTTGGTTCAGTAGGTCAGGTAGYGCATTTATGTGTTGAAATACTTATATAGGAGCTTTGTAGACAAAAATTAAACGTGGCATTTTAAGTTAAAGTAACACCAGTAGGCAAGCTGAAAACTACTATTGTCAATTTCCACTTAGTAGGTAAAAATACACTAAATGATGTGAAGCAGATTTTTTTTTCATATACTTGATATTTCGTGCTCTGAAAAGGAGCAGATTTTTTACAATGTATACTATGRGCAAAAAATWGTACTACTTTATAATTTAAATTTCTCACGAAAGCTCATTTGACGAAATAATTTTTCTTTTAGRCGACATGTGTCAAATGTTCCATCAAAATAATTATTAGTGCTTAGTATGAGCCTGTTTTTCTCTAGTACATAAAGTGAATTCAGCGACTTTTATGACGAGTGAAATCCAAATCCAAATTCAACAAAGAAGTGCGCAATCAAATTTCTGGTGCCGAAATGTTCAGAATGTTAGAAAAGGCTTTTCCAGAATAGTGTTATATATTTTTTATCCAAACAGAAAGTAGACATTTTAACAAACAGAAGGACTTCTAACTTTTCTGATAAATGGTATATTTTRACGTGAGAATTTTGCTTGAAAATTAGGTTCTTTTTTTCGACATAGTATTACAAAATTAAATTTTCAATCAGAAATTTTCAAGGAGAAAAAAAATTATATTTTATTAAAAATACAGCAAATTTACGCAAAATTTCGTAAAAGAAAAAAATTTGTTCTGCAGGATGAAAATGAAAAACCCGGAGACTGTGTTGACCGATTTTTTCATAAACATATTGAAATTATGAACAAAGGGTGTTCACTGAAAGGTTTTTATTGTATAAAATTCTGACATATATCTTTACATATACTATAAGACTCGTAGTTTTGTCTGAATCGAGATAAACSATTTTAACAATTAAATATTTAATCACGCTCCACTTTTTTTCTTACCTCTCTTTTGCCCCTGATCGCCCCAAATTATTCTTCCTCACATTTTTGTTATTTTGCATTTTTTCACTTTTTACCACTTTCATAGCTTCTTCACTACGCTATAATGTTTCCGTTGCTTTTAGAACTAATAATTCGTAATATTTTTGTTATGCTTTTGGGGAAAAGAATTTGTAGTCACATTTTGGTGACGTGATGAGGTCAATGTGTAGCTGCATCACTTGAACCAAATAATATATAAATTATATATATTCAAAAGTATTAGTATTTACATGATTTTATCTCTCGAATTAGGGTCCTTTACATACCATCACCAATGTATGTAGAACGAGTAAAGTCAACCCGATTTTTTCACATCCTGATATAAATTATATGTCAAAGAAATCATTCAACCAAAGGGAGATTTTTTCTTAAATATTTAGTACCATTTATGTTGTTTGATTTTTAGAACCAGATTATACATATTGTCAAATGCTTAACGTTTTTGAATAGTCTTATTTAATTTTGTTTTAGTGAAGTCCACTTTTTTGGCACGTCCACTTGGTACGGATACAAGTACTACTATACATATTTTTCAATCCTAAAAWCTATGCACTATCTGATCAMATTTGACCCGGACTAACAGAAATTACATTTTAAAGTTTTTTCATGTATCCCTTTTGTCATCTCCGTCCAACGCCGTTTCTACAAAAGATAAATATCCTGTTTCGGTACGGGTCGGACATTGATACCCAAAACTTTAACCGAAATGTAACGATAGGTTGCATAGGAGATATTGAGATCCTTCATTATATAATATCTCTTGCATGAAACAAGTTTCCGATGACTTTACGATCCCCACTGAATACTTTCTGCCACTGAGTTGCTTATGTTTGTAATAAAAAGGAAACTCTATAAACACTTCTACAGAATTTTTTACCATTTCGTTTTCTTTGATCATTACTTGGTATAAATTAGATTTTTTCTTCGAAATGTTATTAATTGCTGATTTCTAAGTTTATATCATATACATCACGTACTTATACCAAGTATGATCAGCTGGGTAAAAATAATTGATAAAGTTTGACTATAGGTTGTTGAAGTAATTTTAACTGAAGATGTGGTACAGAAGATTGCTTGGAATAACATGTTGCTCGAACTAGTTAAATCATTTGAATATTTATATTATAAACTTATGTATATCAGTTAAGAGATTACTGCATTATTTCTATATATATTGATAATAATCGATTATTCTCATTTTTATATATTTAAAACAGTGTTGTGACTGACATAATTGAAGGTTCAGAATTTTGTGTTCTCAGAAGTTTCGCTACATACTTATGTTATATATTCTGTAACCACAATTGCTTGCATCTCAAAAGTGGGGTTAGATCTGCGATGTACTAATCCAATTTACATCTTTTGAAAGATACTAAAAATTTTAATATATTCGAGGAAAATGCTGCATTAAATATCCTGGTTGAAGGTAAATGATGATAGTGCTGATAGAGTGAGTCAAACTACTTGTTTTAGGTTGATCAGGAATAARTATTACAAATAGAACTGCTAGTTAATAACAAGTATGTGAACCAGAGTWAAATTCAATAATAATATAAGGATTCTTATAAAGTACTAARTTTTCTGCAARCAATCCTTTTATTGCTWTATTTTAAATATWGGGTAGTYGAAAAAGTYTTTTCGTATTTCTRAGACAATSCCACATATTGCCATCTGAAATTCAACATGTCATAGAAAAAATTGAAAATTGAGTTTTTTATTGCATACGATTCACYACATCATGTTATATACGTATATATATGGTAATATCTAAAATTCCATTTCCGCTCTCAWATATAACCAATTTATAACCATTTTATAAGCAAAACCAAAATTTTATTTTAATATGAGCGGTTTCTATTATTGTTCGTTCTTCCATCGCCAGCAAACCTATAAAAAGTGATGTTACGGTTATTTTTGCATTTTAAGTGACGATATATTAGTTAAACAGGAAAGGATATGATAAAAAGCATGAATTTCTTCCTTTGTCAAATAAAATGTAAATATAACCTACAAACTGCAGGTCTAACTACTGAATAATTTAGCCAAAAATGTAAATTRACTTGTCCTCTAACAACTATAATCTTGAAGAGGGTTCAGGATGAAACTCACATTCAAATGGCGAACAGTCTGTTAAGGCTTTTCTGATAAGATAGACTAGCATTATCAGCATAGTAGTAGCAAAAAATTCTCATATTTCTTCTACTATACCTAACACCAACCACTCACTGAAACATATCACCTTTAATGTCTAAAAATGTACTACCTGTTCACCTTAAATACATTTCCTGTAATTTACTCCGAGCATGGCCGCCACTACGAATTTGGGTTAACAGGCAGCGACTGTAATAAATGCAACTCAGAAAGGAAAGAAAGTCGAAGTTAAAAACAAAAACGGAAGTAAACAAAAATTTGGCAACCAACAGCTTGCCAAAAATGCCACGATTTTTCCAGAAAGCAACAAGAAATTGGAGTCTACACTGATATCGAGTTCTTACCTAGCTGAGTTGGCGCTCGTATGAAATTGTAATCAATATGCAGGACTCGGGGAAAACGTGGGCAAACAGAATTTATGCCTTTTCGGCTGCAGGCTAGGCGRTCAACGATATGCACTGCAGCCACATGGCAGTCCACTTGATATGTGGAGAAAATATGGAAGAAAATGGYAGAGAGAGAAATTGAGCAAGCTTTATGCTTAGGCTAAGTTATAAATAATAAAAGGTAAATATGTGCATGCAAGTACATAAAATAGCATAAAATTTACCAAAATTGTGGGGGCCGTCACAATAATTTCGTTAGTTTTAAAGGCAGCCTTTCAGTATGCCCTTGAGTGAAGCATACATTTGGGCGCTCAAGAAAGAATAACAGAAACCCTAACAAATCGAAAGTAAGTGTGTATGTGTTCGTGTAAACAGTCGCTTGACTGACGAGCACCTATGCATGTTAGGTTCAGATAGCAGGCGCTGAAGCGTGGTACAGCATGAAGAAAGAGAGAGAGAGAGAGAGCGCGCATGAGGGGACGACTACCTTTTACGGCGCATGAAATTTAGCATTCAGATATGTAAATGATAATTGCCTCAATGGTGAAATGAATAATTCATATGCTGTTAGATGCGACCCAACAAATGGACAAGCAATTTGCACGAAAATACAAGCGTACGCACAGCAACAGCGACAAAGCGTTTTGCGCGCTTGCTTCACATTTATATTACAAAATACATATTTGTTGGTGTGTGTGTGTGTGCGTGAAATGCATAAATGTAATTGTATATATACTATATTATATGCATGTGTGCGTGTGAGCCCATTTAAATGCAAATAAATCCCTTGATTAAGCGTTGAAAAAAGTGCCGTTTCGCAT